ACTCGAAGCCTTCCCAACTTTGAAGACAAGCTAAGGGGAAATCAGCTAATCAATACCACCCACCACCAACTCTTGGGATACCCTTTACCAACGAATAGTAGAAGTTACCATCGCTTTGTAATGCTCTCACTGCTGAAAGTGCAGGATTTGGAATCAGATCCCTCACACTGCGAGATGAATGCCCTGACCACTAGACCGTGTCAGACCATATTTTTTTATTTTAGGGGTAGGACACTTCCTAAAACCAATGCAACATAACGCTGGAAAACATCACCTTGAACTTGTTGTAAACGTAGCTATAAGAAAGAAGATATAATGTTTCTGTCAGTAAAGAAATATATAAGTAATTAAATTATAAAAAATAAATGAATTTCTAAATCTATAATCAACTGTCGCATTTCTCCTGCAACAAGGAGAGCAGCAAACGTAGAAACAGAAATGACAAAGTATAATAATGAATATGTGAACGTACTGAAGTAAAGAGTTTGTAAAAAGTTGAATGTAAATACTACAGTCTTCCACGAAACATGTAGCGCCATCTTTCGAACACAGTTGCATATAATTACTTCTGCATACCAGTGAAAGCAAATGTATATTATTGGACGAACCGGTAAATATTTTTATTTTTAAAGAAAAAATGTTCATTAAGATTATTTCATTGAATAAAATAGAGATCTGTGTTTTTCTGGTTGAAATCACTATTTTTAAAATACGTAGGTAACGGATAACTGGGGTGGAAAATCAGTGATCGATTCAATTTTTGTTAATAATGCAAGTTCCTGATGCCGTGAGGACATTTACATTTTGTCAGACAATTTGATTTCAATTTTATTTAATTACATAATTTATTAGATATACGACATAGAATTACATGTGTGTGTGTTTGTTTTTAAATGCTAAGTAATATATATATGTAATAAAACGTTCCCGTCGGGGACACAACAGATGGCCCAACGTGGCTTTGCTCTATAACAAACAATGCGATAAAAATGTAGAATTATACAAAAGATACAGAACGTAAGATAATAATATATAGACGTGAAAGTTTGTTAAAACATTAAATATTGTCAGAAGGAATCTACAGAGAACTGTTGTTTTCATATTGTCATATGTATTCTACTTTTTAGCTGATTGTCCCAGATTTTCAGTGTTACATTTGCAGTAAGTAACATCTATCAAGAGGACTATTAATTCCCTTACGTTTCGGTTACTCTCGAGATTGTCTGGGTTATCACATGTATTCTTCTTTAGAAGAAATCACGGAGTCCATGGTTCGAGGCCATTGCTGCAAAAACATCAAAAAGTAACGTTCAAATTCTACTATCGAGTCATACGAAAATAGTCCAAAATTTGGGGATGGGTGTTGTTGACTAGCAGCCTTCCTTCTGATCTATCAGATCAAAATTAAAGACAGCAGACTTCCTTCTAATATATCAGTTCAAAATTAAAGACAGCAGCCTTCCTTCTAATCTATCACTTCAAAATTAAAGGCAGCAGCCCTTTTTCTAATTTATCAGTTCAAATTAAAGACAGCTATGTGTAGATAACCCTTTTTGTTGTTTTGCACGAAGTTTTTTAAACCT